CATGCAGACGTTTTTTTTTTATCTTGCTTTGTTACTTGCTACCAAAAATTTGGAACCATTGAGGACTGACTCTCTTAAAAGCTTAAATTTTTAGGTGCCTTCTGAATGTAAGAAACATTAAAATTATAACAAAGGTAATGTGATGACTGGAAATTTAAAATTGTGAGGAGTTTTCACATATGGATTTGGCTTCATACTTTTAGCTATATATAATTTTGTGATTGTATATTCTAATGTACATTTTCCTAATTCTTGTATCGAATCACTTAAATTCTGTTTACTGACACTTGGAGCACATTGTTAGATTGGTGTTCAGTCTGTGTATAAAAGAATGTTTAGAGTTGTGTAAGTACTTGTATTTATCAGACCATATTTGATGCAGGCCATTCTCCCTCTGCGGGGTAAGATTCTGAATATTGAAAGGAGGGATGAAGCAGCAATGTACAAAAATGAAGAGATCCAAAATTTAATTCTTGCGCTTGGTCTCGGAGTGAAGGTTAAAATTATTTCTGTTTCATTTATTTGCTATTAATGGAGGAGTTAAAACATAGAATTATTAGAGGATTGAAAGTTCTGAAAAACAAGCCATTGTCAAGTATAAATAACTTATAAAATATTACTAAATTGAAATCTCTTTAATAACTAAACTGTATGTTTGTCTTTGTCTTAGTGGTTTTCTTCTTTTATTCATATGAGTGATATACGATGCAGAGTCTAAGTGGAAGAGTAATTTACATGCAACCTGCTTAAAATTCAAATTTTAAATAGCTAAGACAATCTTTAAATTGTTAAGATTCCCAAATGAAGTCCCACAAAAAACAAATCTAATAACAATTGATGTGAATTTCAATCTTTAAAGTGAATTTAGAGACAAATAGAAATATGAAGATGGGCAGAAAGAGAATATGGTAATTAGCAAAGACAAAACGAATGCATTGGGTGTTAATATCATATTTACAATGGGAACCAAATGTAATCCTGATTCCTGAATATGATAGGAAGTTACAAATTATCAATGAATTTTAAAAATTAATTTAGAAAACTCATCTCTGAATAGCATGATAATTGATAACTAAGTTATTAGTGATATTCTCGGTACCTGCATAAATACTAATTAAAACAATTATATCTCACTAAAAATCCTTGATCACGTGCCAGAATTCTTTGCTCTTAACTAATTTAATTAAGAAATTTCATTTGTTGTTTCAGGGAGAGGATTTTAAAAAGGATGCACTCCGATATCATAAGATTATTATCCTGACTGATGCTGATGTGGATGGTGCCCATATCCGAACTCTGCTACTGACATTTTTCTTCAGATATCAGGTAGAGTATACAGGAAATGCTGGTAAATGAACCCTGCGTGGAAGATGAAAGCCAAGCCAACTCCTAATCTCCTATAAGAATATAAATCAAAATAAATGACCAAATTTGATGCAGTGGTTCTTTCTTGCAGAGAGCTTTGTTTGATGAAGGCTGCATATATGTTGGTGTTCCACCATTGTACAAGGTTTGCCCAAAGTTTTTGCTACATGGAATGTCTCTCAGATGGAATCATGCTAACTTCGAGCTATCTTTACTGAAATAACCAGGTTGTAAGGGGAAAACAAGTGCACTATTGCTATGATGATGCTGACCTTAAAAAGCTTCAAAGATCATTCCCTCCTAATGCATCATACAACATGCAAAGGTTCAAAGGTATGAGTAAAAGTTCTTTTAGTTTTGTGCTTCTTGCATTAGAATTTATTGTAGGCTTGCATCACAGTTGACAAAATAAATTTTAAAATAAACAATAACTTATTAAATAGTTAGGGTTGATATTGTCACGAGCTGCTATTTGTGACGAAACTCAACTGATACTAATTATAGTTTTCATATATTTCAAAACTTGAAACTAAAAACGATGCCGAGTGGGGCCTAAGATTTTCTTAATGTCATTATGATTTTTCCCTTTTGTTCATTCGAGCTGTAGTTGCACCATTTCAATAATCAGGAATGTGAAATATCTGCTCCATTCATAATCATACCAAACAAGAGAAACATGATGACCTCATGTCAGTACTTGGGGGTTTGGTCATAATGTAATGATAATCTCTGCAGTCAGTGGGGTGTGTTGTAAGCCATTGTAGTGAACAATATATTTGTTGAAGAAAGTAAATTTAATGTTAAAGAGTATTTTATTGAATTTATCTGGTTTAGTAAAGTAAATGACTTCTACCCATTTATTCTAGAAGATTCATATGCCTCCTTAATGCTGCAATTTTGTTGGTATCTGAGCTAATTATTTTACAATGTTTTCTTTATTCTATCCATAATAGTGCACTCTTGTATGTTTAATAAATTCAGGGTTGGGAGAGATGATGCCTTTACAACTATGGGAAACAACCATGGATCCAGAACGCAGGTTATTGAAGCAATTAAAAGTTGAGGATGCAGCAGAAGCAAATATTGTTTTTTCGTCTCTTATGGGTGCTCGGGTAATTTGACTGGCTACATTTTGTGATTTTTTTTTATCTAAATCTATTTGTTTCTATATATTTTACTACTGATACATTGAACTTCAAGGAATTTATAGGAACCAAATTTGACGAAACTAGTTATTACAAATTTTGAATGCATGTTTTAATAAAAAAAGGGGGAAATATCCATGTCTTTCATATTTTAATCTATTTATACATCAACCTCTCAAATTAGCCCAATTTTACATTTCTATATGATATTGTATTACAATAATCGATGCTTTTTAAACAATTATTCACTGACATCAGAATTCATTTGTATTTATGAACTTAAAAATGTAATTTTCTATCCTTTTGAGTCTCCATTAAAATCTAGGTGGTTTATGAACTCATAAAAATTGTGGTCTTTTTGTTGTTTTTTGCTGTTCCATGCATAATCATCGTATATAATATATTGACATGTGCGGTGAGCTTAAAAATACTGAATGTGCGGTGAGCTTAAAAATACTGAATGCTGGCCTCGGTTGATTGTCTAGGTTCTTAGGTACAATGTCATAATAACTATAACAGGTTCTCATCACCAATCAGCTAAGTTATTGTTGTGCCATAATCAGAATTTGTATTATAATTTGTGTCAGGTGGATGTTCGGAAGGAACTCATAAAAAATTCTGCAAGCATGATTGATCTTGACCAGCTAGATATTTGATGGTGCAGCTAGATGTGGAGAAATGTAATGTCTTCCATATTAACCATACATTACAATATAGTCAAGCACAATTTTTTCTATATGCGAGGGAATGTGGAAAGGTCTTAAATGAAGCAAGGCTCCTATTTATTCATTGGTGATTTGAAAGAAGTGTTTACTAGGTACAAATGGAGCTGTCATTTTTTGATGCTGGGAAATATTTGGAGGCATGTTGGAGTTTCTAATTTTATTAAGTGCATATTCTTTTTGCCCCCACCTATTTACGATCCCAAATTTTGTAATCAAATGTAATCATTTTCTTGTACTTCAAAGTTCCAATATTTCCATTCACAAGAAGTTAGCAGCTGAGCTAGGGTTTGATCGTGCCATTTAAAACTCGTGTAATTTGTGAGCAAACGGGATCCAGTATTTATATTGCAGGATTATAGTTCCTATAATGGAATTAGAACGGTGAATGATTGAGTGAAACATGCATGTGGAAGCATCAACTTTATGGAACAAGAAAACGGCTATATTTACTGTTGTATTTTCATGTATAAATCTGACTTTTTTTATTGCAGTGTTGAATATCTTTTATGGTCAGCAAAATAATAATACAAATATCATTTTACAGAGATACTCTGTCTGGACTTGTATATAAACAAAAGTAACCAATTTCACATATATTAAAAAGTTTATTAAATATATTTAATTTTCATAATTTCTGATAAAATATATACTAAACTTTCTAAAATATCATCAAATTTATGATAGATATTCTTTTCATTTATTATCATATGGATGTTTTTGAATTAAGAATATTAAATAAAGTTGTTTTAATTAAAATTTGTTTATATTTCAATTCAAAAAATTTAAGTATTTTTTGATAATTTGTATATATGATATCTAAATTTTTTCTATCTTGATAGTTTTACATAAGTTACATTAATTTTTATATTATGTTCCTACAGTAAGTATGTGCATCCAAAGTATTGTTCCCTTTGATGTTCGTTGAGTTATTATAGTTTTGTTTTTTAAAAAGCATCTCGGTGGGTTAAGAAGGGAGAGTGTTCATAAATTAAACTTAGTCTTGACTCTTAAGTAATGGGGAACTTTTAGATATATCGGAACAAGTTCTCTAATTGATACTAAAAGACAAGAGTGGCCTAGGCCCTTCTTCTAGTATCAATGTTCCTATCATAAGTTCGCTGTCATCGTTAGGATGATCGTATATGAGGTATTGTTCGCTTTAACGTTGATTGGACCATTATGGTTTTGTCTTTTAAAAGACATCTCAGTAGGTTAAGGAGAATGGTGTTTATAAACTAAACTTAGTGAACTCTTAAGCGATATGAGACTTTTAAGTATATTAGAGCATATTATATAAGTTAATATTATGATTGATTAAATAAATAATACAATTTTTCTTTTTTACAAAATTTTAAATACATTTTCCGAAGGATCATTCAATTTTACTTTTGTTATTTTCAATTTTGAGAAAGATGTTATTAGAGAGAGGGAAAAAAAAAAGACTCGATTGACCGTTAGGCTTACTCAAGTCTTTCTGTTATGTCAGATTAATTCGACTTGAAGTGTGACTTTATTTTGTCTTAAAAACATATAAAGTATAATTCTTGAAATTCAAATCCATCGAAATAACTTTCAATCAAATTCATTTCTAACTTCATAAATATATTTTTGGTTTTCTCCGACTTGCACATAAGTAGCATCTAAAAAGAATATTCCACAAAATCACATCACACGAACCAAAAAAAATGCTGGCATGCCAATCGAGGGAGAATATGCCACTTAAGTATTCGATACAACAACCTCATTCAACACACTAAAACAAACACATTTTTTATTTATTTATTATTATTTCACAGAGAATTCCTCATGGAACTCTGGGAAAATTATTTGCTACTTCACCTGAATACGCACACAACCATTTTCTGAAAATTGAAGCTTTATGTATGCATTGGTTTCTTATCGTTCTAAGGACTAATCACAGAAATGGGGAACACAGTGCACGTCATATTCGTTTTAACATTATAACTTGTGTGTTCAGTGCATTCGCATGTTTTGATTTTGATGTCTATAACTATGATATGACTGCGTAAATGATCATGGATATGAAAAATCACTCATTCCCTTTTTGTTTTCTTATATCTCCATCATCGTCGGAACTTAGAACAGTTGTCAGTCGTCAATTTTTATTTATTTATTTATTTTATGTATGCTAATGCTACTATCTACAGGAAATAGTATTTGAATTTTGTAACTTGAGCATGATGCATGTTCTGACGTGAAATTCAACGTGATCAGAGAGGATTTCCATTCCAATGCTCAACAAGTATGTGGAGGTAATTGTCATCGAGAACCTAAGCCCTTTGTGAATAATTTTCCCATAAACACTTGCAAAAAAATAAAATAAAATGATTTGAGTTTCTTACGTAAACTAAAATCAACTTATGCACTTAACTTTTATGGAAGTCTTCTCATTTAACTTTTCAAAAGTTAAGGTACATAAGTTGATTTTAGTTTGTGACAGAAGCTCAATGTATTTTACCTTCTTATTTTCTACTCCTTTTAAGTGCTTACCTGTGGATAATTTTTTCTAAATAGGACACTAAGATTGCTTGCTTGCTATAAAAGATGGGATTTTTTGCTTTTGTCATCCTAAGCTTTTTTTCTTATTTGAGTTCTTATATCGGGTAGCGAATGATAGAATGCTTAGATTTTGGTTTTGTGTAAGTAGAAATCAATGTTTTCTCATTGTCCCAAAAGAATCCTTACATGGCTTGGTCATAATAAATTCTAGAAATTTCATTTCTTTGTAATTCTTATTGAATGGACATTACAAGTATTTCCAACCAAAAAAGTTTCTTGCTCATCTAGTCATGTGCAAGAAACGTATTTAGAGGTATTTGGCTAAATTAGAAACGTTGGTGTGCAGAAACTACGTAGGGCATAATAAAATCACATGGTGAAAGCTGCGCAGATCATATGAGGTGAGGTGTTGTGAGGACAGACATGTTCCTTCCAACTATGCTTCCAATTATTCTTCTTGTCAGTGTATTACAGAAAACATTTTTCATGATAGGTCTCAATAATTGGATCCCCGTAAATAGCTTGACGTTTACTTCAGAAACTTGCTTTCCTTTTCTGTTAAGGAATTGCCATCTTTTCTGTTTTCTCTTTAACATGTGATTTAAAATTTGGAATAGATGTAGGAGGAGCATGAGCAGCAACAACAACAACAAGTCTTTTCCCACAATTTCATTAGGTGAAGTTAGATACATGAATCACATGGTGCCAATCGGCATAGTTAAAGACCAAATTTCCATATATGACCATAAAATTAGAATTATATTTAAAGTAATCCACTTTTTATATCTGGCTTTTGAAAGAGTATCATCCTCTATATCACCTTGTCAAATAATCCTTGAATGAGGTTTTGGGGTCATTTTCATGAGACTTAAAATTAAAATTAATTTTTTTAATCCTAATAATTTGAAAGAAAGTTTACCACTTACCAAACAAAACTTATCTATTAGTGAATCTTTCGCACTAAACAAACTTATCAATGCACTTGTTAGTTGCTAGTAAAAATATCATGTTAAACTTAAATCTAATTGACGATACATAATTAATTCAATTTGTTTTTATCAATAATGTTACATGTTGTCCTGAAAGACTAAAACAAGTTTATTTTAAATTTGAGAGATTAAAAATATTACTTTTAAATTTGAACGACCAAAGTCAAATTTATTTTAAATTTGATACACTAAAAATTAAAAATATATTTAAGCCTTTTTCTAATGATTTATTTCATTTGTAGAGCTATTTACAGGAAATGAACTTGGAAGCTGTCCTAAGAAACTAAGGACCAAACATTCTAGGTTATGAAACTTAATGAATGTGATACATGTGATTCAGAACCTTCCAACTATTTCTTTACACTAGCTTTGATTGCAATGATACAAGTGAATTAATTCAGGGGCATGAATTGAGAAGTCACTTAAATGCTATGTTACAGAATGCATGTCTAAGATTCATACTTCTTTGATGAATGCTTTATGAAAGAATGCCTAAATTTCTTAGGTTATTCAAAAAGGTTTCTCCAACAAGGGATCCAACCTTAACAAATACAGCAGGATATCCTATTGGAGCTTCTACCCATTCTTCACTTCCTTGTTTGGAAAATACTTTTCCTGTCCAGATATGGAGCCAATTGCTACTCTCTCCCAACGGAAAATAAGCTTTGACTTTTTTCTTTCCTTTGTCAAGCACAGGCACCACTAGGAACTCAGAACCAACCAAGAACTGCTGATAACTCAAGTGATGCACACGTTCATCATTCGGATAATGAAGAAATAGGTGGCGACATACGGGCAATCCTTTCTGTGCAGCTTCCTGTTTACAAAGAACATTAAAAGGACCATTTTAAATGCTTGCTGAGTTTGCTCAATATAAAGTTAAATTAGTGTGTAACGGTAGATTTTGGGATCACCTTCACCAGTTGAAGTCGGTAAAATTTCCATGCTACGTATACTTTTGCTGAGCGCGCAAAATGAGAGAAAGTTTGTTGATTTGAGTAAAACTGGCTGTTACATGATGGTTTGTTTCCCTGCTTGTTGGTCAAACATCAGTAACTCATTTCTATCACAAACTTTAAATGATGAAATCTATTGAGTAATAGGTTGACTTCCTTTTGACCATTTGTTATATCCTTATTAATTCAGATTGTAGTATTTCTTGAATTAACATTTTGTTTTATTCTTTATTTTGAAGAATAAGTATGTAACAGAACATTTGTATGATCAGCTAAGTTGCTCCACTCTACATGGACAATACCGCATCACTTTTAGTCCCTTTTCAGAGTAATGTAATACACTGATTTCAATAGAATAAAAATTCTCATTGATGAGCAAAGTTCTTGTTATAATAAATGTATCCATGCTTAGTACTTTTACAATGATAATAACGATACAACAAGAAAATATAAGCATGATAAAGGGGTAATCCATATTTACAGGTATTTCACTTACTTCATGGGTGCGGAAGACTGTGGTAAAAGAATTTAGCTCCATCCATCTCAAAAGCAATTCTTCACTTCTACTATATTTAACTATAGGTAAGTTTACTGTACAGTATCCTCCAATGTCACTGTGATTAAAGGCATAACCAGAAATTCCACTGCTCAGAAGGCCAACAACAGAACTCTTTATTCCATCATTTGTTTGCCAGCTGACCATTTGGTCTCCTTCCCAAAATAGCATCCCCCACTTGGGGCTATCTCTAAAACCAGCCCTCATGAAGAAAACCAAGCCCTCTTCTTGGTCTTCCTTCACCTTGTTCAAGGAGTTACTTTTCCATTCTTCCACAAGCTCTCTGTTAATTTTGGCCCATAGTTCTGGGTATCTGTTATGTGCTGAAATAGGATCTTCACCTGAAATGGAGGGTGCAATACCTTAGTAAAAATCACAGGCTTATGCATGAAGTGGAGTGTAGTTTTATTCTCTTTCTTTTTACCCTTTTGGAGAGGAGGTTGGATGATGGGAAAATGATCAGAAAATTATTCTGAGAGAAAGTTTTGGCAGAACATAAAAGATGTGATTTGCAGCCAATCGCATGAACTGATTTCTTACTTTAACCCACTTTTCTTTGTGTTTTACAATCTACTGGCATTAGAAAGACCTCATGAATCAGGTCAATAGGTTACACTGAACATAAGTTTAGGGAGAAACAAAGATATGAGAATGAAAACCTGAATATAGAACAGCATCAACAGGTAGGCCTTCACCAAAATCAGCCATCCATCCTGTAACTCCATCATCCACCATTTCCTGTAGAATTTGCTTGAACCAAGGTGCAGTTTTTGGGTGTGTTAGATCTAGCATTCCTACATCAAAAGCTGTGTTTGGAACCATGTATGGATTTCCATAGCTGTCTTTTACCAATATGTCCAACTGTTTCGCTTCCTCAAAGAGGTTTCTCCTTTTGTTTTGCTTCTCATCAACCTATAGGATCATACCAAAAAAGGAGATTTAGTTTAGTTACAATATCTCAATCTGCCTACACTAGTCACATGTCGTATCTTACCAGAGAGGCACATAGCCACAAAATGAAATTACGAAAGCAATGCAAGAGTCCAATTATGAATTACTTGCACTAATTATAAAATTCAGTTTATTGAACAAGTCAGTGACTACAATATTTATACTTTAAGTGATTCAAGGGAAGCATTACCGGAGCTAGACAGGGATTGCAATATGTCATCACTTTTATATGCTGAGAGCTAAGATCTTTGAGAAGTTCCTTCCATCCCCAATACCGGTGTGCATCCACTTCCCAATTCCACCAGAGCTGTGAACCAATCAATGTTTCTCTCTGCCCTACCCAATCCTGTGCAGTTGCAAACAAAGAATTGTAATAGTTGCAAGTTTGTGAGGGTGTGTGACAAGTTGTTCAGAAGGAGTTGTGTGAACCAAGTTGATTTCCAGTGGTTTACCCAGAAGAGTGTTAGAAATCTGTGTATGTTTAAATAACCTTAGTCAAAAACAAAACACACTACTTCAATTCTTGCATATGGCCTTGAAATACTTTTTTTTTCTCCCTTTCTTAAAGTGTAGGGTTGAGAGATTACCTGCAACCAAAATGCTGAGACAGGAACGTCATAAGTCCTTAGTTCATCCCAAATATGGCGTACAGCATCTGTGCCACCCTGCATTCCAACTATAGCACCGGATATTATCCAATCCGGAAGCTCAGGTAGCCTTCCAATGTTTTCTGTGAAACGTTCAATCAGTTCACAAGGTGAGTTCCCATGCAATATCTGCCCTTCAACCGAGTTTCCATGTATCTGCAAGCTCCAGCGTACAAAAATTTGGAAACTATAAGCTTGAATTATATGTATGCATATAAAAAACAAGATTTAAATCATATGATTTCATTACATTGTAATAATTCAGAATGCTCTAAATTGTTGAAATCTGGTGCATTTATCATTTCAATACATAGCTCAATTTCCTAATTAAATTCATTGGTCATCATATATCAATTCTTTCAGCTATTGTAAAATTAACCACAATCTTCATGTGCTACAAGTACTTACCAAAATACTGTGCTAACTTTATTTTATTGTTATACAGATTCATTCTTTCAATGTGCAATGATCAACATTTTCCAATATTGACTGCACAATTTCAAAATTTCTCTGCAGTTTCAACTATTTACTCCCTCTAATTTTGAGTAATTCATTCATATGGATCCGTCCAGTTAACATAATAACATGAATTTTATCTTATAATTTCTGTAACAATACCTGTATCTGTACTCTGTCAGGTCTTGTTAGATCGAAGACAGTATAATCATATCCTTCGAGGTAGACAGATCTCATTTTGGATGTTATGTAGAATGGAGAAGGAGCATAAGTTGTACTCCAATCACCTCCTGCCCTGCCAATAACAACAAAATGTCATCACTTATCATTCATTGTTTTGTCAACAAAGTATCTATTGCTTGTGATTTAGTATGTTGAATTAGACTTATGAAGCTATAGCATTACACTACCTGTAGCTGATCAAGTTTGCAGCCAAGGTAATAGGTTGATCTCCTCTGCCAATACCTTGTTCTTGAACAAAGATGGGCACCCTTTTGCCTTTGAAATTCATGTGAGAAAACTGCTCCCCGAAACCATAAAACCTCTCATTCTCATCACTTGCATATGTCAACCAAACTCTATTGAATTCTTTTGATTTTGAGATATCCAAGTCTTCTATCTCTTCCTCCACCGATGAAACTAGCACAAACCCTCTTGGCCTTGAAAGGTACCAGCACCAACCCAGTCTCTTTTTCCGATTACTCAGCCTCCTCTTAAAGCCCTGGTACACTCCTGAAACTGTGTTAGAGACCTTGTTGCGTGAGATGAAGTTAGGCTTTTCAACCTTCACTTGAAACCCAACCTCATGGTTGGTTTTCTGATTGAACAAAACCCAATACCTTGCATACACAGAGGGTCCTTTTGCTTCAAACTGCATAGTTGCTTGAATGCCATGCTTTTGAAACCTTCTGCTCTTCTTAGTCATGTTGAAAAGCCTTCCTGTGATCATCAAAGTGGGAAGGTGAATCTCTTGTGCATCACTTTTCTTTTCCAACCCTTGATGCACAGAAGGAGAATCTACAACTTCACATTCCAAAGGATGATCAAATTGACTATTGATCATTCCACTATCCTCAATCACCCGAATATCCTCAATCGTTTGGTGATTGCAAACCATATGAACATCTTTGTCTTTGACAAGAAAGGATCCTCTACTTTCTTCCACTTCCGTGTCAACCAGTGCAGCTGAGACAAAGGCCTGTCCAGGGATGGTAGACCAAATGGGTCTGGTTGCCTGAGAAAGATGGGAAATTGAGAGGTGCCCTCCATTGTTGGAGGTCCAAGAAAGCTGAAAATCACTGCCAATTGAGAAGGTCTGATCCAAAGGAACTCTTTTGGAATTGAAGAAGAGAGAACCTTGGACATAGGGGATGGTGGTTGAAACTGAAGAAGGGAAAGGGTTGTTGAAGCGCTTATGGTGCTTTTTGGTTATCTTAAGGATTGCCATGAAGATTAAAAAAGCTAAAAATTTAGCAGAATGTTTGGTTGAAATTGAAACCTCAAAATATGAGTTCTCGAGTTCTGGAGATACCTTTGAAGCTTATAGAGTTTGTTTCTTTGACGCATTTGAAAGAGGGTGGTAAAGCCTTTTGGCATGTTTTGTATTAAACGGTCTTTGGTATGAGCTATGAAACTTTGTGATTGACTTTCCTTGTATTACATAACAGGACACAATGCCTCAGCAACCAAAATTGTTTGGTTTCACAGTGGAGAAATTAAGACCCGTTTCCTTCTTTTCCATGTAGTTTGGTGCTTTGGATTTGTATTCGTACTCTCTCCAGAGAAAGGAATAGTTGAAAAGTTATACCCTCTTACAATTTCTCTTCTAAATTTTCATATTTTATAAATGAAGTATTAAATGAAAAAGTAAATGTATTTACTAGTTATATATATATATTTTGGCATATTGATCTATTGTTAATTTATTATCTTTAAATGATTCGTCAGTTCATCATAAAAACAGTTGGCATCTACTTTTATCTGAACATCATACTGAGATGTACTTTAAGATCAGTTTGTATATACACTTTTTTCCCCTTATACAAAGATAGTTATTCAAGTTGGTTCTTGTCCAAAACTCTTCTTAGTGCATATTTGATATTTTTATTTTCTTTAGTTAACCGTCAAAATAATAAAAAGGTTTGATAAAAGGACAAGATATATTTATGTAACACTCGACGCATGTTTTCATAGAAATATTGAACCTCAACATTTTGTAGCCCAAGAACCGGGTTTCAAAAAAGAAAATACAAAATTTGTATCATTTAGTACAAGTCACTCATATGATAATCGAGTTTATTTTATTTATCTGGATAAATACAAGTTATATTAAGCTCCACCAATTTCAAGTGTATTCATGCAAGTCAATAATTGAAGGGAAAAAGGACAAGTAAAAATATGCGATTGAATGTAGCCTTCATTGTGGAACTATTCTTTCTGACTATGAATCTTCTTGCCATGTTGCGGACTATTCTTAATTATGAATCTTCTCTCAATGTTGGAGAATGTTCCTAGTACATATTTTTCTGTTTTTAGTTTGAGTAGGGACGTTTTGTTCGACATATATTACCACTGTATCTGGTCTTGTTACGAAGAAGATTCAGTATTCGATACAAGTCACGATGGATATAAATCTACAACATATAAGCATTAAGCAAGATAAACTTGAGGGCCCAAGCAACTTCTTTTGACAAATAATTAGTGACGCTGATTTACTCTCTTTAGGATGGAAATAGGTTCGGTAGAATTAGAAATTTTAATATTTGAATTTGACGTGGTACTTATTATTGGATTTATTGTAGGTTCTAACTTGACTTGTTTAGTTATTAAAAGTCTATGTTATATTATAGGCTAATTGACTAAGTCAACAGTATCAAATAAGTTGGTTAATTTAGTCAATATTATTAAAAATAATAATAATAAAATTTACATGTTCCCTCCAAAAATTACTCTTAATATTAACGGGACACATTTTTGCTTTTAAATATTTAATTCTTTTGATATATTTTCTACATTTTTTTTTACATTTAACTGGTTTAAAAATAAAAAATTGAAAAAGTACTATAAAATTCAACAATTTTTCTATACACAAAACTTATTTGAATAAACACCTTAAGATAAAAAAAAAATATAAGAAAAAAATAAAATTAATTTCTTTACAAATAGAAATTAACTTGTACATAAACAATTTGAAGTCATTAACTTCTCCAACATATTTTTTTAAATTATATTAGTTAATTAGAGTTTATAAAAAAACTAATTTCACCAATAGGATGCATCTAAAGCCGTTAGGATGCCAATAGTACCCTTCTTCACTAGTGTGTATAATATACATAATGAACTTGCCTAGAGTTCAGGTAGAGAATAATTTCACCACCAACAAATAAAAATAGTTAACGCAATTCTAAGACGCGGGCATTTTGCAAGCTTGTTACTATTTCTAACGATCAATTTAATTTCCAAAACTCTTCAATTACAGAGCACAACTGCTATCATCAAGCATCTTCTTCATAAGTTGGCGTTTCAACTAAAAGACGAGATATAGGAAAAATAACATAATTTTGCAATAACATAACATTCATACTCGTTAACGACGAGTTTTTTCAAGCATACGATAAAAAATACTTAACCTACTCCTTGACTAACAATAGTTGGATGCGTATGAGTAGAAACAACCTTTACACAAGGTTCTCAATCAAGCAAATCTGAAACTGGATTCTTCCTAAATCCATCAACTTGAGCCAACATGTTTGCCAAAATTCTATTGGGTATTATGTTATCCGCTTTAAACCTGTCCCGAATCCCATAGGCCGGAAGCTTTGCATTTATATAGGCACTCATTAGAATTTGGTACATCTTTGGTTTTAATGGATAATCAGCTTGTTTCATTCTAAAGAAAATCTTTTCCGCATTATGGATGTCACCCCTCTTAGCATACTGCTCCAAAATAGTTAGGTAGGTAGAAAATACTGGCTTCAACTGGCTCTGATAGGCTGCCTTATGAAGAACAGAGTCTGCCTTCTCTACTTCCCCAGCTTGGACATAAAGTTTCACTAATGCATCCCAAGTCAATGGGCCTATTGGGCACCCACTATCTCCCATTCGCTTAATAATATCCTTACCCTTCATTAGCATCTTATGATTTGCATAAACCTTCAGCAGTATGGAGCAAATCTTGGAAGAAAGCTTCCATTTCTTCACCATCATCTCAAAAACTTCCTCCGCTTCATCAATTTTATTCAACTTTCCCCAAGCTTCAATTGCAGCCAGACACTCATTATAACGAGGTTTTGTCTCACAGACATTCCAAATTCTTCCCACTTCATCCACCTTTCCCAGGGTTGCATAAAGGGGAAGCAAAATTTGGCATAGCCATCGATTCTGTTTCAAGTTTTCACCTTCCATCTCCTTCAATAAAGTTTCAGCTTTATCTTGAAGACCAGCTAAGATGTAATGCCTAACCAAAACAGCCTGGGTACTGATGCTTGGTTCAATGCCTTGAGCCTTCATTCTATCAACAATTTGATCCATTCCGTCAATATCTTTGGACTGGCCTTTTGAGTCTATTAAGATTTCATAAGTAAGACAAGAAGGTTTGATATTCTCATTTTCCATCAACAACAACACATCAGCTATTTTCGACTTGTAATTCCTCTTATACAGAAGCAGCAACTGATTGCAAGCAAATACTGTAACAGGAAAACCCAAATCCTTCATTTTATGGAAAACTTCCTCTGCTTTCTTCACATTGTTCTGACTGACACAGTTAGCCAATAAAGTCCGGTAGATTATCTCACTTTTACAAGATTCAGGAACAGTCTCAATGTAAGCCTCTGCCTTCTGTAAGCCACGGGCTTTGGCAATCAAATCGAGTCGACTAGCATAATCTCTTTCAATAAATTCAAACTGCTTTTTTGACTCGAGCCACTCTGAGAGCTACAGAACCAACCGGAAAAAATATATAAATTTGCATTACCAAAATCCTCTTGTAAAACTAGAAAACCAAAAACCAAAGGAGTGTAAAACTTGAACCATGTACAAAAATTCTTGTTTAAAGGAACTGGAATAGCTAATCTGCTTCAGGGAACATTTTTATCATTAACACTGAAAAACTTCACCCTTCAATTATAAACAGACCAAAAATAATTAGAAACAGTTAAAATTTACATTAGTTATGTCCAAGGTTGTTAGAATATTATAATTATTATTGCATTAAGAGACTTGTTACCTAAGGATTGTATTATATGTATGGGGCTGAACTTCTACTAGCTGCACAATACTTGTACTTGACCTAGATTATTTATTCAGGGATAAAACAAGATATTTATTGAGAGAAAGAGAAAGGAAGACGATGAATCCTCTTAAAGAAAAGAACAAAATAGATAATCAAGAAAACAAAGAAAATCAACAACATTTATGTAATAAGGCTTCCCAATCTCTTAAGATATCTGTTAATGAAACTGAAACCCCATTAAAATGGCCATGAGCTTTACATCAAATAGATACCAAATGCCTAATCTTATAAAAAATCAAGTAATTTACCAAAGAAACATACTTAAAAATATAAGAACTCTGCTCCAACCAAATGCATCAAATTTATAACAAAACCATGAAAACTGTTGAAATTATGGGGTTTTAGGTATTGTGAGAGGAAATTGAGAAAAGAAAGACTGAATAATACTATCTTGACTATTGTGCTGTATTAATACAGTTGATGATATGTTCATGTCAACATATGTAACATATCCTAATAGACAGAACCTAAAGAATAATCCAAGATATACCAACATACTATCAGGATATTACGATAAATTCATATATTCTAATACTTCCCCTCAAGTTAAAGCTCACTATCCAGGCTGTTGTTCACTACTGTCTGAGACCAACCCTGTCTCAACGAACTTATATCATGTCCCCATAACTGAGCTCACCACCCTCAGACTGGCCAAACCCTTCAATGGAGCCTCTACTTCTGTCCTATACACTACCAAACTGTTGTCAGTCACTGCCTGGTTCTACATCTGCGGGCATGTAAGGGTAAATGAAATAACCTTCCTACAAGATTTTTCTACTGAGCTTATTGAAGCAGCCTTCTGTGCATTCCTCAATCCCTTTTGATCCACATATTGTTCATATTGACAATCCCTACCCCAAGTTACCCTTTTTGCCTTTGTTTATGCATATGTTGTTATGTTCTTTAATAAGATACGACAATGTTTAATTGGAACTAAGAGCTTAGTCAGGTTTAGCTTGAGGATCAATGCTGGACTATTGTGTTTGGAGATAAGAGGGTGACACAGGATACAAATCATATAAAAATTACTCATGCCTCACACTAGATGAAAACATGCACTTAGCCTGATTTTTAGTATATATTGGAGACTTTGGAGTATAAGATTAGTGTTTTATATCAAAACAACATTACAATTATTCATTGCAGCTCTTTTTTATCAAATATCATATGCAGGGTATATGAAAGTCACTACACAATGAATGAAGGGAGAGGGAACAGTCAATCAAACAAGCATTGCATGACATTGAACAACAGCATTATTTTTCTCATATTGAGTATTTCAACAAAATGATATTACCAAAAAGAACAATGGTAAGAACACACCGGGGCTTTATGCTTGAAAAAATGTTTTCTATTGTCATTTCTTTTTTCATTTTCAATTACAAAAACGTCCCCTTGTTTTTATCTTGTTTCTTGAACATCCATTATCCGCAAATAGAAGTAATGACCCACGAAAGTGTAAGTTAGTAAACCAATTTCAAATTTCAGACATTAAAATGTACAATGTATAAGCAAATTCAAATTTAACCCAAATACCTGCAAAGCTCTCCCAAACATCTTCCGCCTCCGAAGATTAACCATGGCCAGTGAGACCTCCTCTCTGGTTAGTTCCTTCCCTTCTTCCAACCACTTATCCAGAGCAATATGAATAGACATACCGGAAGCATTCAAGATCTCCTTGAATAATTCCGATTCAATCCTCCCACGATGTGGTTTTTCTTCTTTCTTGGCCTGCTCATCAATCTCATTGTGTGCCTCCTCAACGTCCTCCTTGTCACCATCATCATCCGCTGAGTCGGCATCAGAAGTTACTAAACTGTCACTTTCATTTCCATCAACGGCAGGGGTCTCCAGCTCAGAAAACCCGTCCTCCAAATCATCCTCCTCTTTCGTGCTACTCGAAGAAAGCTCCCGTCTCCCCATAGTAAGATTCAGGGAAGCATTATGTCCTGAATGGTAACGCGATTTCGGCGACGAAAACGGATCACACGCCATTCCATGAGTCTCAGAGATGCAACTCTCTTGTTCCACACAACTAGTTTGAGCGAATTTGACACAAGATGCTCTCGCATTAAACCCTCGGGTCCTACGCAAACACAGCACAATAAACGATCACTGCCTACTCTAACCGATATTAAAGTATGAACTAATGAAATAATCTCTGGTAAGGAGAAAATAGGTTAAAGGACAAATAATGTAAATTTGGATTGAAATAAGGAAAAACGGGAAAGAATGGAGCAATTAGCGAAAGAGTTAACATTTGAGAAGGAGAAGAGTTACCTGAGAGAGATTGAAGCTCGACGAAGAGCCCACATGGGTGGTTACGAACCTGAAGAAACGGTGATGGAAGCGCTTGAACCCTAGTTAAAACCCTTTCAATGCCTTCAACCTTCTATATAATGCTAATGCCAATGCACTTTTTTTTTTTTCCTACACCGCAAACATTGAGAGTTTATTTATTACGGTATACTATAAATTATATTTTTATAGTTTATTTGTTATAATTATTTTAATTTTTTATATTTTAAAATGTTTTTTAAATATTTTATTTTTGAATTAATTTAAATTTTTTAAAAACAATAATTTTAATTTTATGATACAATTTTTAAATTAATTTATATTTATAACAACCTATTTAATTATATAAAAGTTATAACACTTAATTGATATTTGAATAAGATTATAAATGAAAAGAGTAATGTTTTCGGCTTCCAAATCGGAACGGCTGAATAATCTTCTGACCAGTGAAACCTTTGCAAATTTTAAATTAAATTAATATTTATATTAAAATTAATTGACAGTTGTCCATTTTTTAACAGGGATAAATAGGTTAGTACAGTTGGAAGGTAAAGAATTTTTCAAATGAAAAATAAACAATTAAAAAATAATATAAAATCACAGATTTTAAATTTTTAATTATTTTTTACTTAATTTTTACATGTTTATAATATTTTTTATTTAAATTTTAGTTACATTCAACAATTTTCATATAAATAAATTTAATGAAATAAATTTTTAAATATTAAATTAGTCATAAAATATCCAAAATTATGTCTTAAATTTGTAAATAATTTTTATTTTAAAAAAGCTTAAATTAGTCCAAAATTAAGAAATAAAAATAATATCATAATTTTATAACATTAAAAATTATTTATAAATTTTTAACATTTAATATCATATAATATCTAGGTTCTAAACAAAATATAATATAATATTTAAGTCTAAATTTTAAAAAAATATAATAAGATTCATTAATAATAATAATAAGTTTATATTTAGAATAAAGAGTATCAAATTAATATAATATAAATTGCAAAAAATAAAGATATTAAGAATAATTAACTTAAATGATTCAATTATATTTATAAGATAAATATTAAAAATAAGTTATTGAAATTTCTAATTTTTTAAATATTTATTTTTATTACAAATTTTTTAAATTAAAAATTTTTTTAAAAAATAATTTAACTGATTAAACCAATTTTTGATTCATTGTCAAACAATTTTAAAAATCAATCGATCCGATTGAGGATTGACTTTTACTTGAACTGGTTCGACCAACTAGTATAGTTTTCAAAATCATGGTTAAAACTATAAGTTGTGACTTACTACAATGGATACAAAGAACATGTGGTTCACTTCTTGAGAACTAAAAATTATGCTACAAAATCTATTTTTTAATATTTTTTTAAAAATTATAAAATCACAATTAAATCCTTTATTTTATTTACATGTTATCTCCTTCAAATAGAAATGTTAGTTTTCTCCAATAAAGACATTATAGTGTTTATATGTCAATTACAAGTTTGTTTTTATAAGGTTGAATTAAGTTTCTATTCACTTTTCTGAAGATAATATTATAATTTATCGTAATGATCATTGATTGTTGGGTTGTTTATTAAACCACCCATAGGTGTTTAATTTGACCAACTTTATGCTTGAAATGTCTAATCATTGACGTGATGAGATGTGTTGAAGATCCCTCATCAATTAAATATAAGGTCATAATAATAGTGTATAAAAATAGAAGGCAATTCTCATCTTACAAACCAATTTTATAATCTTGAGTTAGGTTTCAATCTACTTTATTAACACACGTCATCTCCTTCAAATAGAAATGCTAGTTTTCTCTAATAAGACGATGGCATTGCTTCACATTCTAATGGTTGATGTCTGTCCTCAACTATTGTGGTTGTTCATTATCGATCTCAGCATTACAATTCACAAGGTCTTCTTTCATCTTTGAGAATCCATTGATGAAGTCCTTGGCTCCTTTGCATCTTTGTTGTCATTGATGATCGCGGTGACGAGTACCCAAAGACGATTCCATCGTCGCCAACAAGCTCACCCTTTGCCTTATTAGGAGGGAGATTGTCATCCTCCACAACAGACTATTGAGTAATGTGCAATTTCTTGATGCATTTAATTTAATAAATTAGTTAAAAAAAATAGTGATTAATCTAAATCGTTCATTTATTTTTTTTAGATTTAATGATAGTAATCCACTTATTAACTATTTAAAACACTAGTTAATAGTAGACAACACTCTATATGATCTATAACTAACCAAGTTAGACCTCAAGTAAATTAGATTATATATATATATATATATAT